GTGTGGCCTTGAGTCTCCTGTGTGCAAGTGAGTGCTGGACAGGCCTCAGGTGTGCTTCCCTGAACAGAATTCCCCATTCTAGCTAAGATGACATCATCAGGCTCTGTCTTCCTCTATTCCAGAACACATGGAGGCTGCAGTCACCCAAGACCCAAGAAGCAAGGTGACAGTAACAGGAGGAAAGGTGACACTGAGCTGTCGCCAGACTTACAACCACAACTATATGTACTGGTATCGGCAGGACCAGGGTCATGGACTGAGGCTGATCCATTACTCATATGGTGCTAACAACATTGAGAAAGGAGATGTCCCTGATGGGTACAAGGTTACCAGACCAAACCAAGAGAACTTCTCCCTCATTCTGGAGATGGCTTCCCCCTCTCAGACAGCTGTGTACTTCTGTGCCAGCAGTGATGCACAGCAATGTGTGGCTGTCTCCTCTCTGCACATAAAGTAAATTAGGAAGACAAGTTTCCTGTGTGCCCCAGGAAGTCCCTGCCTCTTTAAGAGTCACTGATGTCTAACAAACCAGGAACATTTCAGCATGGGTCTCAGACTTACTGAAGTCCATTCTAGTACCTTTTCATGGCTGCTTGTCTCAAATCCACCCTTTGTTTCTGCTTACAGAAAGAAACCTGAATCCTTAACTGAAGTCCTGATGATAAGCTGACAGCCACTATCTCCCTCCCTGTGGACTTCAAGTTAACTCTTCAACCACTTTACTATCCACCCGAGTCACATATTATGAACACTTCAGGCTGTGTTTACTCTATAGGTCAGTAGCCCCTTTTATTCTACAGAACAGTAGCCCATAATGTCCTATATCATTTTCTTCACTCATCTCTATCACCAGCCTTTACCCAGCCTTCCCTGTTCTTTACTCTACAGCTGAACTTGTCTACATTCAATTATTTCCTCATATGTGTTGCACTGTTTTCAAATATAGAGACATTTCCTAGGACATTTCTTCTGCACTGAAGTCACGCCTTTCTCTCTTCCTCTGGATCTCTACTTCCCATGAACTACTTTCCTATTTCAGATTGGATTATTTTTCTAAGATTTTAATGTAATTATATTATTTCTTCTCTTACTTCTTCCTCTAGTCCCTCACATTATTCTCTCCTCTTTCAAATTCAAGGCCTCTTATTCTTTAATTATTATTTTTTATTTTGTTTTTTTGTGTGTATGGCCTGAAAAAATAAATAAATTGAAACAGTTGAGTCTATTTAGTGTTACTTACATTTATAATTTTAGGGATGCCTGCTTGTGATTGGATAATCATGTATGGGACTCATCCTGGGGAAGAGTCACTCCCCTCTCTCAGCAGGCTTTAATTGCAAGAAGAAAAAAAAATCTGGAGGAATTACCATGCCAGATTTCAATACCTATTACTCTTTTTCCATATCTTGATGAACTTACAAATAAACCCATCATATTCTCTTGTTGTAATGTGTCAGTAACTTGGCAGTAACTTGGCTCAGTAGGTGGTAACTGGGTAGATGACTTTAGGAAGCTGCTCATGACACACTGCATTCTACTGACTGGGCAATAAAACTGAGTCAGCATTGAGTTTGGAGATTCATGGCATAGCCACCTTTGGGCCATCATGACGTCAAGGCCTCAAAAACAAAAGAAGGTGTATTTTACTTCAGTATTTCAAAGTTTTGCTCTATGATTTGTGGTTTGGGACCTGTGGTGTGGCAAAATAGCCTGGTAAGAAGAATATGACAGAGCTGGGGTGCCCACCTCATGACAGCCAAGAAGGAAGGCAAAGGAGAAGGAGAAGGAGGGAGGGTGGGGAGACACACACACACACACACACACACACACACACACACACACACACATACACACACAGGAGTAGACATCTTTTAATACATGCTGACCCCTTCTTTCTGAAGTTATCTCCATGAATCAATGTCCCTTGTGTTATAAACCTAATCCATAGATTAGCAATTGGTGAAACCTAATTTTCCATGATCTATTCTTTCTTAAAGTCCTTCCTCTGAACACTGAGTAGACCAGAAAGTCTTTAAAATGCATGAACTGTGAACCAATGGCTGAGGAGCCCCCATGGAACTAGACCAGGCCCTCTGGATAAGTGGGACAGTTGATTAGCTTGAACTGTTTGGGAGGCCCCCAGGCAGTGGAGCTGGGACCTGTCCTTGGTGCATGGGCTGGCTTTTTGGAGACTGGGGCCTAAACCTCAGCCTTGGTGTAGGGAGAACTAACGAGCAAAAAATAATAATAATAAAATAAAACCCCCTGAATTTGTGGAACAGTTAACATCTAAACCAAACAAGCACTGTTTTGCTTTGTAATATAGCATACTTTGCCTATAGAATTCTTACACCAAAAAAATAAAGAATACTACTATCAATACAAGATAACCCAGGAAATACAGAATATTCCTCCTAAATTTTCAAGTTAAAAACATGTAAATAGAATTACCACAAACGGGGGCTGGAGAGATGGCTCAGAGGTTAAGGACACTGACTGCTCTTCCAGAGGTCCTGAGTTCAGTTCCCAGCAACCACATGGTGGCTCACAACCATCTGTAATGAGATCTGGCACCCTCTTCTGTATACATAATAAATAAGTAAATCTTGGAAAAAAAAAGAATTACCACAAACAACTGACTGTTTTCATTGTTCCTTATAAACACACACACACACACACACACACACACACACACACACACACACACACACACACACACACACACCAGTAGCTGAAGTGATGATCCTTGAATTTAAACTTACCAGATAGGAACATTTTTTTAAAGAATTACACAACAGAATGTGCATGGAGGTGTGAACTACCAGGAACTGTGGAAAACCACAGAAGAAACCTTCAGCCACATCAGAAAACATTTCATGGGATGCTCTCTAACAAACTCCATTTTATTAGTTACCAGTGCATCTGAATTACTTGGGGTCTTTTCCTTTAAGTACCTCTATGGAGGATTCAGCTATTAATCTTTACTTTTATTCACTTTGTCACTTTGAAGATAGTCTTTCTTTTTCTAATTTTTAATGTTTATGATCATAATGAAATACATGGTAATAATAAAGTTCACTTTGATGCTTTTGAGGGAAGGATTATTGTTTACTCTCAGCATTGTGTCTGGAAATAAATTCACAGATTAACTGGTCAAAAGCTATGCAGGCTAATTTCAAGTCTCTGGATATCAAATGAAAGGACAATGAATATCTAAACACCTACTGGTATCTAGAAACTTCTATTCCCTCCTTACAGGATGAGGTGTAGGGGATAGAGGAAGGTTGGGGAAGAATAAATGGTTGGAGGAAAAATGAAAATATCCTTAAGAGATAGATGTTAGACTCCGAGAAGTCTGGTTGTGGGCCTCCAGTGTCTCCTCCTGTGATAACTTAATCCTCCCTGGTTGGTGAGACTCCCAGGGAGAGGCTCACCTGCTTCTTTTGGAGAATCTGTGTTTTGTCTACCATGAGAGGCTGAAAGAAAGATTTTTTTCCACACTTGTTTTTCCCCAAGCACCTTTAATTCAGAAGCAGAAACCAAAGTAACAGACTGGACTGCCCTTTTTAGAACCTTATCTCTGTTTTAATATATCTAACCTCACAGCATTTTATACATGTTTGTTGTGTTATAGAACCAAACTCAGTATGTATTTGCCAAGAAGTTTTCCTCTCTAAACCAATTAATCAGTAACTATTCTTCCCTCAGGGCTCTGATCTTGCCTATTTTTGAAGTTTATGTTCTGAATTAAATTTTTTCTCTTTGTGACTGGTTTATTTCACTTCACATAATATTTGTTACATTATAGGTGTATATGAACTTGACTTATTTCAATAGTTCATTGTACTGAAATTGTACATTTCCCCCCTATCCTTCACTTAATGGATTTTTAAGTTTTGTCCATCTCTATGTATGCCAAAGCCTACAGAGAGCAACCATGATCTTCTAGATTTCCCAGCGTTTTGTTCTCAGTGACATAAGCACATTGCAAAATAAAGCTTTATTGTATTAATAAGAAAATCAGGGTATCTAACACTGTCAAACATAAAATATACAGTTTGGCATCTGATAAAAGATTACAGCTTTTCAAAAAGGAAGAAAATAGGACTCACCACTGGGGATAAAATCAATTACGAGAAAGCAACCCATTTCTGACAAATTGCCTCACCATGACATGAAACAATGAAACTGTAGCACATACCTTAACAGCTAGGCACACGTGAAGGAGACACGCAAAGTTCCCAATCAAGATTCTAGGAGTAGAAATTGTAGTGTCTGTGATGAGAAATAGTTGACTGTAAGTAGCAGAAGATTGGATGCTCCAAAAGGAGGAATTAATGAATGAAGCTGATATTCATAAGGAAACAGAGAGAAAATGAGAACAAGGTGTCAGTGAGCTGAGGATAACCCCAAATGGTCAAATATGCAACTGGGGATTCCGTTGTAAAATTTTAATATTTTAATTTCTTCAAGAGAAGCTAGCTGTCTGCAATAATTCCAACATTCTATCATTCTTGCCTTTATCTTTCTTAGACTGGTTTATTTTTCCAAGTGCTCTATATGCTTCTCCACTCACTGCATTCCCAGTCAGCCTGTCATAAAAATTCTCTCAGACAAAAGGTTTTGCCCAGGTCCACACCCCTCCAAAGGCATCTGGTGTCTAATGACTAGTGTATGCCTCCCTGGACACTGTGATGCAATTTAGAAATTACTGTTTTCTTCTTTTGAATGAGTTCCTTTTATGTCTCTCTCACTAGCACAGATAATATTTGAGATTTTGGTGGGTACACTGGAACTGGCAAGGACATTATAAAGTTTTTTGGTCCTCTCTTATATGCCTGATTTTGAGCTCCCAGCCTCTACCACAGCCATTAGAGGTATAGCCCTGTGACTGCACAGCTGGTCGCTAGGGGGCACTGTGGACCCACGGAGCCAGCAGCTGCCGAGCTCTGGTTTGTTGCCCACAGTAGCACATTAGCAGTGGAATCAAGAAGCCCAAGGCCAAGGACAGGTGGTCAACCATCATTGCACATAAACTGGACATCACTACAGGGAGCCATGAACTGTGGCCTTGAACTGTAAACTTGTCAATCTAAAACCTCCTGGAGCTAGAAAAGAAGGAAGCACCTGCCTTAGAGGGAAATAAGAAAAGAATTTCCCCAAAGTCAGTCATATTTATTCAGCACAGCCATCTCCCCTTCCACTAAGCAGGTTGAGCCCAAAGGGGGAAGGGCTGAAGCAGCAGAGTATGCCCAAGGGTACAGAGGCCTATAGGAGCCAGCAAGATCACTGACCTCAGAGCCTGACATCACAGGCTATGAGATGAGGAGAAGGAGGAGCTGACTCCTGCTCTCACCAAGGAGAGCAGCACCCTGAGTAGAAGGATGTGTGACACTGCCCTCCCTGACTCTGCCTGGGGACCCACC